CCTAAATAATTGGTAACATCTATTTTATTATGAATTTACCAAAAGGCCTCCTGCATTAACATTGTGTGGATTAAGAAGGCGATGTCAACAACACTCAGCGTATCGTAGAGCAGATGACTGTGCACTAGCTTGCCTCGACATAGGGAGGTGCAAATTCAATGAAAATGGGCTTTTCAACCAAGAAAGGCATGGCTAAGACCAGTGAGCCAATGGGACTGCTGTTTGAGCCTTACAGAACTTGTGGATGTGGTTATGTGTGTTCCTCAGATTCATACGGCGTCCCAGCTAAGAAGCGTAAGAGAACTGAGAGTAAAGAGGACATCGTGGAGATGATGGAGAACACGGAGAACCCTCTCCGCTGTCCAGTCAGACTCTACCAGTTCTACCTCTCCAAGTGGTGCGTCATTTTATTTAGAGTTTAGTCATGTTTTTGACGATTCACTTATTGACAATCTTCATTTTCTGTGTCTTCTCGTCCTCCAGCTCAGAGTCGGTGAGGCAGCGCAGCGACTTGTTCTACCTTCACCCGGATCAGTGTTGTGTTCCCAACAGCCCCCTGTGGTTCTCCTCCGTGCCTCTGGACGACAGCACCATGGAGGCCATGCTCGTACGAATCCTCGCCGTCGGAGAGCTGCAGAGGGACGACAGACGAGGTACGGAGCAGCAGGCGTCAGATTACACCATGTCTGAGTCTGACGAGGAGGATTCACGGTGATGGACACAATGTAAAGGGATTATTTCAAACTCTCTGCATCACAAATTCAGATGAATCAAACATTACAAGCCTTTTTTTTCAAATCATTTAAAAGTTTGGATTGTTGCTAACAGGGTGATTAAATAAAGACTTGGACCGTGGCTTAGTTTAAACTAATAGTCACTGGTGCAGTTATGAGTCCTAAAACCCTGAAAGCATTTCACCACTCCGGCTCTCTCGTTTTGAAGACAGCGGTTTCCTGAACATGTTGTGGCAGAAATATGTCAGGCCTACAATAATACATCTTTGAGGAGTTCTTCTTGGCTGACTGGGAAACAAAATCCAACCTCTCAGTTCCCTTCTCTTCAGCAGCATTCTGGGAAAATGTAACAGTTCTGTAAGGAGTTTGTTTTCTAAAAACTTTGCTTAATAGTAGAAAAACTTAGAGTGGCATCAAATGTCAGCGCCTTGCAGAGCGGAGCTGCTGTGGGTTCAGATCTTCTGCGAACGCTCCTCGTCATTACTCGCTCCACACCATCGCCTACCACCCTCTGAACCATGTTCACATGTTTTTGATATCTTTATAAGAAAAGTCTACGTTACCTGCTGATTTATACTGTTTGTTAAGTCTTTGTTTTTGAAATCTTCCTTGAGTCATTTGAATGTTGATGCCATTAAGCTGTGACTCAAGATTTAATTTGTTGGTATCAATGAAAAAAAGTTGAAAGTAATCTTTGTTTAACCTTTCTTTGTAGTACCTTGTTATGCAAATCTCCAATCACTTTAATAAATGCTTGAACATACAAATAAAAAAACAGACAATTTATAGATGAAGATTGTTTAATGCATTTTTACAGATGACCCAGCAGTTGTAGCACAAATTAAAGTTCCGTTAAAAAAAGCTGCTCACACTTTAGTTTAGTTAAGTATATTCTTCTCACGCCACCTTCTACTCCACGACATCATAAAGGTAAATATTGTGCTTTTTACTTCATTACTTCTATCCGACAGCTTTAGTACTAGCTACCTTATAAATTAAGATTTTTGCATACAAAAGTGAAGAGAATATAAAATATGTTAGATTTTAAACTAACACTACAGTTTACATAAGTAAAGCTGAAGCAATTTCTATATTAACAGATAGTAAACTGATACGCACCCCAAAGTAATGATACCACAAAAATACACTATCACCAGTAAAAGGATTGAAAAGTAAAATTACTCAAAGCTGCGACTGTGGCTATTATCATATCATTAGATTCATGTTACCAATGCATTAATGTTGTTTACTGTTGGAGTTGGTTGAACTCCCTTTTTTAAATATGTTTCTATTGAACTGCATTAATGAATATTAGGTAACAAATTCACCATCAACTAGTTGTTAATTAGCATGCATATTAGCAGTATATTGGCTCTTTTTTAGTCATTATAAAACACATTATGCGCATTCCAACCTCCATTCTTCCTTTTCTTCTTCTTTCGTGTTAATTGGCGGTTGGCAAACCAACTTGTAGGTGCATTACCGCCACCAACTGGACTGGAGTGTGGACAAGAGACTAAGCAGAAAACAATAAACAAAAGAAACAAAACAAAGAACCAAAACTCTAGATTATTTTAAATGTATCAATTTCTCTTAGAAATTTAATAATCTCTCAATATATATTGCCAGATGTTTTCCCTAACAGTCCTGATAGCGACAAGTCATGGAATTTTGCTTTCTTCAGTGTCTGGAAAAACACATTTCTCTGAATACTATATTTCCTGCAAAGCAGTAAAACATGCTCAACAGTTTCTGGCTGGCTACAGTGTATACACTTTCCGGTTGGATGCTTTCCTATTATACTTAATGTATGATTGAGACCTGTATGACCTATTCTTATCTGAGAAATGACATTTTCCTCCCTTCTTTTAAACCCTACCTTCCTTCCATCCCCCACATACCTTTGAATGTTATAAAGATGTCTTCCTGTATCACTAAGGTCCCAATGATCTTGCCATGTTGTTTGTGCATATTTCTGTATGAATGTTTTAACCTCCGCTTTGCTGAGCGGAACTTCTATGTCTATGTTCATACTTCTGAGTGTTTGTTTGGCCAGAATATCCACCTGTTCATTACCCTCCACACCAACATGAGCAGGAACCCAGATGAAACGAGTTGCATGCCTTTGTTTTGCATTTTATATAAAATTAGATATATTTCATTTATTATGTCCATTCTAAATGAAGATCTGCCTGATCGTATACTCGATAATGCTGAAAAGCTGTCAGATGCAATTACACTATTATGTATTTCTTTCTCCTCTATCCATTTCAATGACAGTACCAATGCCAACAACTCTGTGGTGTATACTGACACATGGTCTGTTACCCTTTTCTTGATATGTGTATTACTCACTGGGATGTATACTGCTGCCCCAGCACGCCCTGTCTCTGGATCTTTGGAGCCATCTGTAAATATGATTGTTGAGTCTGAGTGATATCTTGCAAAATAATTCTGGACTATGCGCCATACTGGTATTTCTTTCTTTTCCTTCAACTCTTTTTGTATATTGAGGTCTACACTTGGCAATGGGAATAACCAGGGTGGAATGGATGAGATTGGAACTGTGGGGCAATACTGTATTTGATTCAAACCTATACTTGCTGCTTTAACATCGCCAATCCATCCAAAACTTGTTAAATGTGACTCATTGT